AGATAGATAGATAGATAGATAGATAGATAGATAGATAGATAGATAGATAGATAGATAGAAAAAAATTATATCACAATATAATTAATATGACAATGATTCAACACTATTGTTAATATCTCATTTCTCAAGCATGTATTCAGGGATTCAGTGAACACATCTATTTAGATGCGGTGAATTATGATTGAGATGCCAATCATGTGCAAACATCATCAGAGCATTGCTGAAAATCATGTGGCAATTTCACACAGCATAGAATTCAACGGCTAACACACACACACATACACACACTGACCCATCTAGATCTCTGTCTAGCCACCCCTCATAGCTTATCTTAATCCAGTGTTTTAAATGAACTGGGACAGGAGTGATACAAACCGAATCCAAACCACATCCATATGTGTTACAAGTGTGAATGGTCAGATTACATTAAATCAGGCGTGTACAAACCGAATCCAAACCACATCCATATGTGTTACAAGTGTGAATGGTCAGATTACATTAAATCAGGCGTGTACAAACCGAATCCAAACCACATCCATATGTGTTACAAGTGTGAATGGTCAGATTACATTAAATCAGGCGTGTACAAACCGAATCCAAACCACATCCATATGTGTTACAAGTGTGAACAGTCAGATCACATGAAATTAGACTTTTATAAACTGGACCCAAACTCCATCCGTATCTGTCACAAATGTGAACAGTCAGACCACATGCACAATATTGTGCATAGCTGCAAGCTTATAAACAGCCAGTACTGATAATCTGAGCTGTGTGCAATGTGAACAGAAAATAAGACGCCATTTTGGAGTGCTAAAATACCACAAGCAAAACTGTTTAGTGAATTCACCCAACAGGTTTGTCTTACCTGTTTGTGCATCTCAATGTTGAGCCCATAGGACATCTCGTAGTACTGTGGGAACACAAACGTGAGAGTATCAATCAGCACCGTGATGAATTAAACAGCAGTGAATCATCATCAATCAAATTAAAACCTCAGCGGCCTGACAGACACTAACGACTTGCTTAAACTACAGGAAGACAGAGAGAGTTTGAATGCGTCCGCGTGTGTTTCTGCGCATCTGTTTTAGCAGGCAATGCCAAAGATGAAGATGAAACCTGACACAACTGCTCGCTTATTCTGTGTCTTTCTCAGTCTGTCTGTCTCGCTCACACACTCGGTAACTGCTCTGTGTAGCTCGATTTTCAAAAATCCTTTTTCCTCTTCTCTCCCCTTATCTCTGTCTTTACCGATCAGCTCCCTCGTTACCTACCTTCCTTTTTAATCCTCCTCTCCCCTGCCCTTCTCTATTATTCCGTAAACTCCATTTCCCATCTGTGATGTGTGCCTGACCTCCTCTCTTCTATCAAACCTTCTCTGTGGTTTAATCTCAGGATTAAAGTCTCATCATTTATAATGACAGTGACTGGAAACCCAAAAGTGTCGATATGAGGTTAACGAGCGGTGAAATATTCCAAAGTTTGGGCACACCTACCTACTCATTCTTTATTAGTGCTTGCGAAGCAAATTATCTGTATTCATATTCTTCTTAATCTTGGGGCACACACACTACATGTTCTGCACCTTCCACATTCTGCACACTTCCCATCCGAAACCCCCTATCCCCCCATTCCCCCACCTAAAAATATGAATGCTCGATGTAGGTGCACTGCTGCCAGCTCTGCATGTAGGCCTATGCTGGACACTTGTTGGCTGATTTTACCTCACTATCCGACCCAAAACAAAATCCATTAAAAATATCAATAAGGTTAAGATTTTTGTTTTGTGCATTCATGCATATTCATGCATAGGCACAATTTGTCTACAAAACTCATTTCAAGCCACGTATAAAAACCTTCTGACCAAAAGGATTTTAAGATCATGAGAACTATAAATCCAGTCAAGCATGTCCAAACTTTTGACTGGCAGTTTAAATGCGAGTCTATAAAATTAAGCATTTTAGACATGTGTTGCGCTGTATTCAAATTTATTGCATTTCCAGTATTGATCGCTCCGGTGGGTGATGAATTTTAGATAAAGCGTGACATAACACCAGAACTATTTCCCCATCTATCTGTTCTGCTGGCACACACACACACACAAATATAAATCACGTTCGCTGGTTCTGCATGCTGATAGTGCAGCAGGGCCGCTGGAAGCGGTTTCGTTTTAAAAAGTTTTGCGGCAGCCCAGAAGGCTATTCAGCAGCACTCGTATTACCTCACCTGAGGCCAAAAAAGGTCACTGCATCATTTCAGACCAACATTAGTTCTCAGCATGTTTTGATGTAGAATCAATCCAGGGAGAAAATGCTGAGCGAAAATTCTAATTCACACAAAAATAGGCGATATATCAGCCAATTAATCGACCTGGCCGACATATCGGTACCAACTGAAATGATTCCATTAGCCAGCCTTAACACGAAAACAAAACCACACTGGTTTGGGGAAACAGTGTCCTAGATATTTGGCAACCACCCTAGAAACCATATAGCAACACCCTGGCAACCGCCCAGAACACTCTAGGATCAAGGCACTGAGTTTTGAACAGGCAAACATGACTCAAATTGAGCTGTACTTAATGTGGCAACAGGAGAGTTTCTATCAGTTTAACTGACAAGTGATCTATTACCTCAACCTACACACAGTCCTGTAAATAAGACGTTTAATTAAGCTGAAATAGTTTAAGCAGTCAGCATGTCGTGTCTACGGTCTCTCCCTAAAGAAAATGTTGAATGACAGAGTGCCAGACAGGCAATCTAAGGACAGGACACCTGCAGCTCATTTTCTCTTCAAAGCACTTTAGTCCTTTAGTTTTGCTTTACTAAATATCTTTTGGCTTCTTCAGCTACATTTTATAAAGATAAAATTACAGGACTCCATTAAGGACAGACCAATGGCCTGGGACCAGTGTGAGAGAATTTGGGACCCTACAGGTAATTTGTTGTGCTCATGGGGACACGGGCTATCATATTGCTCTCTTCCTGTACAAGGCAAAATGCTCATTGCAAATAAATAAATAAATAAATAAATAAAATAATAATAATAATACTAAAATAAATAAATTAAAAAATATATCTAGATGGATAACAACTGGAGAAATTTGTATGAAAAAAACTGTCAAAATTAGACATGGGTTGAATATGATAAAAACACTGTATGCCACCATTTAAAAAAAATAGCTAAACTGTATGAAATTATAGCTGAATTTATAAACATTATGATTTTATTTTTTTACAACATGTGTCAGGAGCAAATGTAATTAGCTCTTCAATTTATGTTTTTTTCACACAAAATTAAGATTATAAAATAAAAATATTTTGAAGTTTTAAATGTGCAATGTTAGTTGGAAATATAACCAATTTAATTTAAATAATTTAAAATTACATTAAATTTAAAAAAATGTGTGTGTTGTAGTTTGCATAGCATGCTTGTGCTATTTAAAGCTCATATCTTAAGGTGGGCGAGTTTGACTTGTTGTTTTTGTGTGATTGTGTTGTTATTCTGGATATCGGTGGATAGTGGTGCGTTTTTGGCTCGTAATGTTCTTACGTTCCCTCGCCGCAGCTCATTGTTATATAAGCTCTCTCATGTTATGTGCATTCTCATTCTACACCGCGAGTGTGTGTGTGTGTGTATGTGTGTAATCCCCTTAGAGTGTCAGTGTGTGTGTGTGTGTGTGTGTGTGTTGTCTGGAGCAGATTGTGCGCGACATGTGGCGGATGTAGCGGGGCTCAATGCGGCGGAGGTTCAACAAAGCCTCTCCTCCTGCCTCAGCCACGGTGTGTGAGTGTGTATTAGTCCTCACTGGTCTAAAGAGGGGCAATATGTACTGGGTGTCCCCTGGTTCAACCCGGCAGCTGTTTGCCATCCGTCGCTTGTACTCATATCCTGCTGTGTCGCTGGTCACTCGGCTCTTGCTGAAATCTCTGTAGATGTGCGTGCGTGTGTGTGTGTGTGTGTGTCTGTCCATCCATTTCACCGTACTGGATGCAGCTGTGACCTTCTAAGCTCAGACACATCCTGATCTAGTATTACTAGACAGGCAACACTGATGAGATATCATTTCCATTGGGCTTGTCTCTCAGGCTCATCGCATCTGCCATGAACCCATTTACACCAAACAGGCCAAATTGAATTGACCGATATAAAAATAGCTGTCCTCTGTACTGTCAAAAGAGCTCCAAAAAAGGAAATACTAAATAGATTTGCATCTCCAGTAAGAAATACCAGAGTTTGCCAGGGTAAAAAAGGATTTTAGGCTTTAGGCTTTCAGCATGCAAGACCAATCAAATTTCAGTATGAAAATTTCAACATCATAGCTGTCAGTTAGATTTTATAGATGTTGGAAGTTTCGTAATTACGAGATTCCGACTTGTAAAAATGAGTTTAGTTTCTTGTAGAACTAGCATTTACAACTTATAAACTCAGAAGCTTGGACTTGTACCCATAGATATGTATTCACAGACTTGAACACTCCAGACACGGCAATGCATCCACCATCTTGGAACAGTCAATGTGTCGTCACTCACAGTAAAAATCGGTGAGTTCCCCAAGATGCCAAAAAATTGCAGCCTCTTGTTGTAAAAACGCTGATTTAAAATCCTAAAGAAATGGGATACATTTTTACAGGTGAGAATGTGTTTGTGTTTTTATATGAAGGCCTATTAACTCTAATATTACAGGTTTTAACTGTTTGATGCCTTTGTCTTCCTGCATTGTTAGTTTAGCAAAATCATCTGCTGAAGTCTACTGCAGATACAAATATTCATATATGCGTATAACTACGGTTGTAGACACGCCGTCAACTTGCTCTCGAGTTCCCAGGTGGCTTTGACCCTTCCAATATGTGGACACCAAAAATATAGCATCCCACAGAAGCCGCTGCTAATGAGGAATCTATGTATTTACATCTATGCTTGTACCACCTGAGCTCTGTTACATCATGCAGAAACACAAAATGGCAGCATCTTCAATAGTAAAATGAAGTTAAGCAGTTATTTCTGTTTAATAATTCCTACAATTGACCATTTTTAATGTCTTAATTGAAGAATAATATGACAACAAACGAAAGACATACAACCACTATTAAAAGTCAGTCATACAGGTTTGGAACGACATGAGGTTGAGTAAATGTTGAGTAAAAGTTGTGTATTAAAACATTCAAAGTCTTCATCATTTTAATCAGTTACAAGCCAAAGAAAGAGCCGTATCATAAAGGATTTCATTATACTTCCTTTTTTTCCCCAGACAATAAAGTGACATTATATGAAAGCCATGAACGTCATTAGTGACAGTGCTGTTGGCGGCTGTTCTTGAATCCGAGACTGAATTACGAGTTACCTGGCAAGTTTCCTGACAGACGGAGAAAATTGCGAGTGTGTTATCAGCCACACAAAACCAGAGCCGTGATTCATAGACTGCCAATTCATATCAGCGCAATTATAGATGAAGCTAATTGCAGAATGCCATTTTATCAAATTGAATAAAACCTTGAATAATTAGTAAAATTTCTGTTAAGGAACACTATTGAAACTGTAATGCAAACAAATATTAACGTGTACAGCAACACTATAATAATATCTCCCATTTGCTCTCATTTCTGTTCAATTCTTTCTCTTAGAATGCAAGCAGGTTAAATGGAGACTTTCTCCTGCTTCTCAGATTTTTTCCTGAGAAAAAACCATACTATTCTCAAAGAGAATAGAAAAGAGTTAAAAAAAAAAAAAACTCAACTAGCACTGTCAAAATACCAAATTTTCACTACACAATTACTGTGGCCAAAGTATTTTTTTCCATTTTAGGATGGGTGGCAACAGCTAGTTCTCAGAACGTGTTTTTGCATTTAAAGGGGTCATATGATGCTGCTAAAAAGAACATTATTTTGTGTATTTGGTGTAATGAAATGTGTTTATGCAGTCTTTGCAACTTTACAGATCTTCTTTATGCACCAAGAGCTTGTAACACTCCAAAGAGAAAGGAAAAATTGAAATCGCATCATATGACCCCTTTAAAAATGGGAAACTTAGGACAGTGGAATGGAAAAAAAAACAGGTTTCAAACTGTGTTTTTTTTACTTATTTTAACTGGAGGGGCTTGCTTTTTATTTCAATCTAGCGTGTTTGCATAGAAAAACTATCGAAAAGCTGTGCAGTGGAATGTAAAAATGCAATAGTGCCACCTACTGTGTTGGAGTGTCAACCAGATAGCTACTGGCGCCGGATTATTTACAATGTTTATCTTAAGTGCAGTATCAACAAAATTATCTCATCTACTTAATGCGCATTCAATTTATAGCTCTATACTCTCACAGCATGTCAACAATTGTCTCACAAAGAGTTACAAGAAACATCTGAGCAGATGCGGAGTACAAAAAATGAGAACAGCAAAGGTTTCGTGAGCTATAACAGAACAACTCCGAGCAATAAAATGTTCCTCTGAGTTGTTTTGACCAACATATCATGATGGATAAATTAGGTGAAGGTCTGTAAACAAACTCGCGGGTTTGAAATCAAGCTTGTGTAGATGTTTTGTTCAAGAATGTTTTGGACCTTACGAAAGTTAAAAGTGAAACGTAAATAAAAGATGTTTTGAAACCTTTTTTTGTAAATTGTTTTTAAAAATAATTTTTGCAATTAGCTTTGGTGCTGTTAATGTAGCAGAAACCGTAGATTTAAATGAGAGTTAAAAGTGAAACAAAAAGTAAATTAAAGATGATTTTTTTGAAAAAAGCTTTTTTGAAATGTTTTTTTTTTTTTTAATTATTTATTTATTTATTATTTTAAATTTTTTACAATTAGCTTTGGTGCTGCTAATGGAGCAGAAATTGTGTACCATAGCTTAAAATGAGAGTTAAATGTTATACTGAAAGATATTTCGGGGAAAAAAATAATAAAAAATTGTTTTTGGAGCCATGGTGAGCCAACTTTTTTTTTTTTCGTCAGAGAATGACTTTGAGCAACCTGCCAGTGATGTGCGTGGTTGTGTTTGTTGAAAATTGTTTTGAAAATGATTTTTGCAGTTAGCTTGGCTGCCTCTAGTGGAGCAGAAATTGTGTACCGTAGTTTTAAATGCTAGTTAAACGTGAAAGTAAATGAATGTATTTCAGCGCTACAATTGCTTTATAATTAGCTTCAGACGGATGAGTTGGGGCGGGGGTGTTACTGCAAAAGCAGCGTATTAGCCCTGTCGTTTGCTCCATCTTTCCATCCTCGGCTGCCCCAGGCTCTGGATTAGCCTACACACAACGATCACAGAGTGACCATGTAGATGGGCGCTCATTAAAGGCTAGATCATGATGGCGCATCAGGACACACGTCCACACACACACACACACACACACACACAAATACTGCAACCCACAATCTGGATTTAGAATTTAATAGTTAATGAGAATGATTTACTTAAGCGGATTTGAACCTCTGTCTTCCAAATGAGCATCATAGTTTAGTATATTACGACAAATATTCTAAACTATGACGCCAGATTTAGATTTATGAGCTACATGTTTAATCAGGACCAAGGCACCAAACTGAACAAGTTGTAAAATTATTTATTTATTTATTTGAGCCTTAGCTTTATTGTTTATACTACTATAATTAATTGATTATTATATTATTAATAAATATTATTATTACTATTTATTTATTAAAATTGACTTTACATAAATATTAATTAAAAATAAATACAAATAGTTATAAATAATTAAATAAAAACAAATAAATAAATGCTTTTTTTTTGCTTTATTGGGTGTTGACTGGAATTACTTTTTTTAGCCATAGTCTTGTTGATCATATTATTTATATTATTATTTAATATGTATTTCTATTATTGATAAATATTATTATTAGTAGTAGTATAAATTAAATTAAAATGAATTAAAAATGAATATATAAAACATATACAAACAAATACATTTATTTTTGCTTTATTGGACTGATCATTTTTAAGGAGGGAGCGATGAAATGGGATCAGGGTGTGTCGCAAGCCAGATTCAAACCTGAATCTTCCATATGGACACTACTGTTCTATATGTTAGGTTTAACAATTTAATTTTTTTTGTTTAAATGTCTTCATACGCTTTTTGTTTTATTGAAGAGATACCAGAACAATTTTATGTAGACTGACGAATGATGAGATTTGGACATGTCGAGGGCTGGATTTGAATCTGCTTCTTCTGAATCTGCATCATGGCTCAACATATTAATACAAAGGCCACAACCTCAACTTGTTTTTAAAATAACTCTGGGGGCGTTTCGCTTTATTGGATAGATAGTGGAGAAAGAGATGACAAGACCTTCAGCATTGCTCAAAATATGAGGAGTGTGTGTGCCAACCACTGAGTCACGGCACTGAACAAAGCTTTTAACACTTGAATATCATCCAATTCACTGTCTCTGTTGTTTTTGTTAGCCAGGAGGCTAACGCACCATCGCAAATGAGCTCTGAAAACTATTTCATGCCCATCAACAAACAAATCATTCACTAAGATGAGAAGAACACGCAGTCCTGTCTAGTCGTCAAAGAGCACAGATAGAAGAATGCGGTAAACTATAAATGCATGAAAATAAAGGGGAAGGCTGTTGAAACAAGTCTTAGTGTACATGGCAGGTCTAGCAGGCTAAATATAGTCTTCTGGGTTATCTGTTTCTGCAAGCACTGAATCGTTGTTCCCTCTCATTATTTACATGTCTGCGCTTGTGATCTTTGTTTCTCTCTTTCCATCTCTTTTCTCTCTTCATTCCTGGCTCTCGCATATCACCCTTCCTTCTCCCTCACTTTTTAATCTCCCTCAACCCCTATTGTAATCCCGCTGATGTGTCCTCAGGTTAACCAAACACCCTGTAACATGAAATCAAACGCAATCTCTCTTTTTAAACACAGATGGGCTTTAATGCTGTATTTACTGGAGCGTACGGCAGATCTGATGATATGAGGGTTGAACAAGCTCACCATGATATAGTGGCGCTGCATCTCCGTCTTCTCGCTGGCCAACTTCTCACAATCTAGTTTGAGACTGTGAAAACACGGCAGAAAAATATGAATGAAAAACATGGTAGAAAATTATTAATTGTTCACGTTAATCAAATGTTGATGGTAATTTAATGCTAATGACTTGTCAACATATCAGAAACCAAGTCTGACAAGTCTGATTCACTTAGATGAATAAGAATGAATCAGTTACATTAATTGAAACAGGACAAATCAATGTACTTACAAGAATCAAAACGGCTTGATTCACTTAAATGATTAAAAGTGTTCCAACTCACTTAAACGAATCAGAACAAATTATACACTTTACTGAATAAGAATAAATAAATTAAATTTCATTAATCAGAACAAACTAATTCACAGAAATCAAGACACTGTTATGCCGATGATACTCAACTATATATCTCAACAAGACCAGATGAAACTTCTAAATTATCAAAGCTAACAGAGTGTGTTAAAAATGTAAAAGATTGGATGACCAATAATTTTCTCCTGTTAAATTCGGATAAGACAGAGATATTACTTATTGGACCAAAAGACAGTACACCGAATCTCGTGGATTACAGTTTGCAACTAGACGGATGTACGGTTACTTCCTCTACAGTCAAAAATCTGGGTGTTATACTAGATAGCAACTTGTCTTTTGAAAATCATATTTCCCATGTTACAAAAACAGCATTCTTCCATCTTAGAAACATTGCCAAGTTACGAAACATGATACCTGTTTCTGATGCAGAAAAGCTAGTTCATGCATTCATGACCTCTAGACTGGACTATTGTAATGCACTGCTAGGTGGTTGTCCTGCATCTTCA